AAATCACAGTAAAAAAAAAAAAAGACAATATTATTCAAATACCAAAAAAAAAAAAAAAGATTTGAGTCTTTCTTCCAGTTAGAGTGAAATTTTCTTTTATTTTCCTTTGATGATTGCTTTAATCTCTATTTTGATCTCTCCTTTTGGAAATTCCATTATATGTATCTTAGATAAATATGTATATCCAAAAGAAATACAATGCAAGCCACAAATAATTTCAATTTTTAATAGTCAAATTAAAAAATCAGATGAAATTTTTAAAAACATATTTAACCAGATTATCATTCAAATATATAATAAGCAATATGAAAAAATAGTGACAGCATATTTAACTTTTCTTTTTGTACTAAGTCTACAAAATCTATATGTGCTCTCCGCTTCTCAACTCAGAGTAGCCAATTTTCAAGTGTTTAGTAGCCATTTCTGCTTGAACTGTATTCCATGCCTTAAGTTATCATTTTTATCCTCTTTTTCCTCCAAACCCTAACAGAATTCATCCAACTGATATTCAAATTCACTGACTCAGCTTTCTCAAGTACCCATCCTATCTTTTACTATATCTACTGGCTGTTTTAATTCAACAGTCATACATTATATATCTTCAGGAGCTCTTTCTTCATGGTACACTGCTCCTGAGCAATGATCTCGAGACAATGATCTCTAGATCAGGACTTTGGCTTAAATTTTTTTCTCACATGTCCTACACCAACCCCATTTCAATGGAGAATAGATCCACTTTTGAGTTCCTACACCTTTTGCATTTGCCTGGTGATTCTACCTGATCTACTTAGTCTTTTAGATAAAAATCTAGTCTATATATCCTTGGTAGCCAAGGTGGGTACCCTCAGTGATCATACAGGTCACAATTCATTTCTACTGGTCCTAGAAAGAAGAAAGTTGAGACTTGGTAGAATTTTCTTTGGTTGTTCAAGGACCTAACAGAGATCTCTGAAGAGAACAGAAATGGAGTTGTAGCCAGAGGTGAAATTAATCTCCCATTAAAATATCCTACCCAGACCCCCAGGACCAGCTGGGATACTTCTGTAGAAGACAGAGTAGAAACAGAGTATTTTCCATTATTGCAGAAATTCCCATTGAACAGTATTTGGTTAGAAAATTCCTCCTGAAGCCTCAAAGTACTCTATAAACCCCCTTCTTCCTTACCACTATCTCTTTTCTTCAGGAGCTCAAGCCCATCCCCCTTGGAAGTCTTAGTTATTTTCACCTATTTTGACTTGTGACCATCTCCCAGTTCAAGGGATAAAAATCTATTACCAATTAAATGCAACACACATTAACAGGGCAGATACAAAGGATAGTTCGGTGTTCAAGGACACTCAAAAAAGCTATACAATGGGAGCATTTCCTTTGTAGGATTGGAAATTACTAATTAACCGAATTAATAAGAAACGCTTTCTAGTATCAGACTTTGGAATAAATTATTGATAGAAAATACTGCATTCATGGTCACTAAATACAAGGACCTTTGCTAGAAATAACTAACAACTGGTGAGGATGAAAACATTAAATTCAAGGTGAAATGTCAATAGAATTTTAACTAAAATTATGAGTTAGCTATTAAGGCAAATTAAAAGCACTTCAGTTACAATAAAATGCTGGGTAAACTATAAAAAAAAACTAGTAATGAAACAAGCCTTATCCAAAAATAACTACAATAATGACTATGCTCAACAAGCCTTGTAACTCAGCCATATCATCTTTAATAACAGACTATGCTGGGAACGAGCTTGTGTGTAAACCAAAAGATCTATTGATGCTGTCGTTTTATAATTATTGTCACAATTCACAAAGGAAAATTAATGAAGGCCAAAGAAAGCTGCACCTTCTAAATTACAACATCAAGAACAACCTTCCTGTCATTCACAACATTTTAGTAATAAATGAAGTTACCTCAATAACAGGTGTATTTTCCTGGAGCTCAGTTGCATGTGAAGCCAGTAAACCAATCACCCGAGCAACCTTGGCCCGTCTGTAAATGGACAGAAAACAGTTTCTGAAGAGGAGAGTTAGCACTTCCAGTTAGTTACATTACACATAAAGCAAAATTTGAATGAAATAAAAAGTGAATGTGATAGGACAAGCAAACTTTCCCCCATGTTTACAACTCAGAGAAAACTCTCCCTCCTGTACACAGGAGACACGAACAGCAATGTCCTCTGTAGCACTGTTTGTAAAATGAGAAGTTATAGACAAGTTGTGGTTTAATAGGAAAAGGGGAAATAAAAATGTTAAAAGGCCTTAACCAGAGAAAAGAGGGTAATAGTAATTAATATTTTTATTTCTAAATACAGAACCATCTGGCTATAGGTCTTTTCTTTTCTTTTTATTTTATTTTATTTATTTATTTTTTTTTGTTAGTAGACCAATGAGTTTCTACTTAAATAGAAAGTAATTACTATCAAAAACCCTTTAACATATATTTATATGCTTCAGTGTAATAAAAAAAAGTTTACAATTATCAGTTTTGCAAATATTGTCCTATTTTAATAAATACTAGTTCAGCAAGGTACCATTTGGTACTCAGCAGAAAACAAAGTAGATAAATTACTGAATATTATTTCACTGTGACTGCAAAAAGTTATTTCTTTTAGGAAAATAATTAGTTTTGATAACTTTAAAAAAAAAAAACTATGTGAGTTGATGAGAGCTGCCTGTTTATTTAGTGATGCCTGCATGCTCTGTGGGGTAATCAATGTGTGTATTAGCCAGAGAGCGTCTATTTTTCAGGTTACTAGAACAAACACATGCAGCAAACAGGGAAGGAACAAACCAGATTCAGATTACCACAGGGAAAACATTCATGTTGTCAGACCTCTCACATACAGCAGTGATTCTTACAGATGTCCATACTTCCTGAATTTGCCACTCAAATCAGATAACACATACAGATTAAGTAAGTCTTTCCAACAAAAATAAACACTTTTACATATACAATATGCCTTATCAATAATAACAAACATTAATCTATGGGTAGATACATAGGTAGACAGGCTGAATGATCATGTATGTCTAGGCAAAACAGAATATACCCATGACCATATATAAGTTTGGCAGACACTACGTCCACATACATCTTTGTATGTGCCACAAGAACATCCATACATATAATAAAGCTATCAGGGAACAAAGTTACAATAACTTCTTACACAGCTAACCACCTTAAGGAAACAAGTGGTTGGGCCCATGGACTCAGGACCATGGTCATGGGAGACATCAAACTCAATAGGTGTAACATACTACACAACAACATTTTTCTATATCCTACTCTGGTGAGTAGCAACAGGGGTCTTAAAAGCTTGCAAGCAGCCATGTAAGATGTAATAAATGGTTTCTCCTCATCAGAAGCAAAGAACAATGAAGAAAACCAAAGAGGCATGGAAACCATTAGTCCAAGAGACTAGTAGACCATGCAAACCTCAGCCTACATGACCCTGAGATCAGAACTAGGTGCTGCCTGGCTACCACTGTCAACCACTAGGAAAGGGATCAGTGCAGGAGATCCTAGATAGAGTGGGAGAAAAATTTGAAACAAAATTCAAAATCATAAAAAAGACCAGGCTTACTCATCTGACAGACTGGTGAAACCCCCGAGACTATGGACCCTAGTCACCCTTTGGGCCTGAAATTGACCTCACTCCCTTGGCTTCCAGCCCAACAACAAAAAGCCATATAGAGTGGACATTGACACCAGGTAGGTGCACTCCTGAGAACAATCAGTCATGGGAGATCACAAGGGCAGTATCTGCACAGATAGACAGCTCAGAGGGTAGGAATGCATGGGAAAAGACACAGGGAAAAGGTAGCCTCAGGGATGAAGTGGGAAGTGGACTGTTACACTGTGAGGATTGCAATCAATGTCATAAAACAAAATGTGTATGAATTGTTGTATGGAAAATGAATTTGCTCTGTAAACTTTCACCCAAATCACACACACAAACAAAGGAGGCTTGGGCATTTGTATGATTACCATTCTGTCTCTAAATAAAAATATTATATTCTAAAAGTCACCAAAGAGGAGAGACAACACAGGGACGCCAGAGTAGCAGGCCGGAAGAGCAGGGAAGGGGATAAAAGCCTTGAACCCGGACAGAAGAGCAATCAGCCAAAGGGATTAGGTGAGGAGGG